AAGAGCCCTAGTTTTCCCCATTGCCACTGATGCCTCGGAGACCTGGACATTGAAGTTGGCAATGCGACGTAAAATCGAGGTTTTTTTAGAAATATGGTGTTAAAAACGGTTGCTGCGAGTACCGTACACAGCTCACCGTACAAACAATTCAATTCTCAATTCTTATTTCAACAACTGACTATCGAATCAAGACTGTCAACATCAATAAATCAATCATATTTAAAATCCTTTGGCTACATATCCAGGAACACCAAACGCTTAGAAAAGCTAATTGTGGAGAGAAAAGTGAACGGGAAATATCCTAGAGGGAGATTTCCAAATCGTTGCGTTGACCAAATGAAGACTATGAATAGGTCGTAGTCTCCACGAGGCCAATACTGCTGCGCAAGACAGAACAACATGGAAAGACACAACAAACAACAAATGCGATATCATAATGTCACCGTACTCTCATAGAGCGATAGGAAGGGGGAGGGGGACTCTGGGTGCCAGTCTAAGGGATAGAAGGTAATGAAAAAACAAATGATCCAGCTAAAAAAGGAGAGAACACACCACTAACTAGACCAGAACTGTTCTGCTTTCCAAGTGGAAAACCCAACTTAATAAAACAGCTTAAAGTGGAACTCAAGATCCTGGAAGACTCCATCAAACTTTCGCAAAATTAATGACGTTTTGTTTTTCCTCATATAATAGACAGAAGACAGATGAAGACTTTTTTAAAGACGTTAAAAAGACAAATAAGTTAACCACATATTGCTTAAAAAGTCCTTATAATGGACTTACTAGAACAAAATGTATTGAACTCTAAAATGATGAAAGTTTTACGGTATCCGTATTTCGTACCGATCCGTGTAAGATGCTAACCACTGTGCGAATCTCGATTGAATAGGAAAGAACCTCAACTAATGGAAAATCTATCCAACCGACGCGACGCCGGTAGATATTTTAAAACCTGACGTTATTTCTGTTTGTTGCTAATTTAATTCTCACGATTAACATGGCTAATTATACATTTTATATTACACATAAAACGCTCGGTCGACTGGAACGCTTAGAAAATATTTTTTGTTTTGAAAATATAGTGGGCCTAAAATGATAAAAAAGTTGGTTGCAACAGACCACTATCAAATACATTTTGGAAAGGTCAAATAGCTGCTAGTCGCCTTGACTTCTTAGTCAGAAATATTCGAATTCGATAAAACTTGTTTTAAAAAATCCCTTCGATAAGCTTGTTTCTGATTTTGATTATATTTGTATTAGAAATTTGACAAATACAGCCAAAATGTTCCTTAAAATAGATAGACAATTATACAGGGCGTTCCAGAAATAAGTGCAAGTATTTTTAGGGGTGGTAAAACTCGATAAAAGAAATATATTTTCTCTTTATCGTTTTTCAAATAAGTCCAAAATAACGGAGTTATTTTACTTTGAAATTTCCGAAAAAAAAATATTTTTTGCTAAAATTTTGAGAACCACTGGATCTTTTCTGCATTTTCTTTCTTGTAAATTTAATCTATTACCTATGTTGCCATATTATCGAGAAATTATGTTTTTTAGTTTATTCCAAAAAATTTCGAATTTTCAAAATTTTTTTTTCGCCAAAAGAAACCCATAGGCGTGTTTCTGGGGTTGAACTATACTACCAGTTAAAATACTTGCACTTATTTCTGGGACACCCTGTATAGATAGACGTGAAACTTCTTACTAACAACTATTAAATTGGAGATTGGATGTTAACGCCTAAATTTATTTAAGAAGAGAAAAAAAATTGAACCTAACCCACAATTTGTATTTATAGTGGTTTAGAGAACTTAGTTAAATTGATTATATAATTAATTATTGGTTATTGATTATATAATTAATTATTGGCTCGTTATTGAAATAAAAATGACATGTCCTCTTGCTTAACTCTAATAATTCTGAACTCTTAAATGAGCTAAACGCTTTACCTATTTTTACCAATAAAATTAACAGTTAAACAAATCTGTAAAATGGATTTAAAATAAAGTCTGCTTTTCGCATTATTTCTTCTTTTCCCTATGTATGACTTTTTATTTAAACATTTCCTGTGATATAACATAATATGTTAACAGAATAACATAAATTGATTGAGCAAACTAGAAAGTTGTTTTGAACGAAAACATGTGATTTAAACAAAAATCCATTGGTGTAAAATTGCACTTTTTGCGTAATTTCATACAAACTCTATTAACCATCCGAGAAAGGAAAGTTCATTTGAAAATTGCATGCAAATCTAAGTTTTACTCTGTAAAACTTAGATTGGCCTGTTGATTGACTGTTAGTGCAGATATACTGAAAAAAAAATACAAATACAAAGAAACTAAAGAAACAAAGTACAGAATTAAATTAAATCACTTTTTTTATTAACATTTAATGATCAATATCTGACATAGCGTTTCAGCCTACATATTTTACAGAGTGTAGAATTACAGTTGGGATTTTTTAACACCTTTCGTGTTATAACAGCAAAATAAATCACTAATTTACCAAATTACATAACCAAAACACCTTACTTTTAACACTGGAGGTGCGTTTCGCTATATATATCAACGGTTGTAACATCAGCAGATGATTAAAACTTTGATTAAAATTAAATCTAGTTAATCATCTGCTTCTTTAAATGTAAGCGTCACGTTAGAGAGGTCTCTATTATCTTTAGCCAACAAAAGATAAGCCTAACAAGATACAATGATTAATAATACTATGTAATACAATTTCCGTGTTAAATTAAATTCCTTAATAACGCCGAAGATGGCCTATAGCCTTCTCCATTTGCTAGACAATATTCTACAAAATTACTAGTTTCTAACTTATTGGGAAATTTCAAGCATCCAAGAACCCTTGTTTATAAAGTTTAAACTTGACGAAGTATAAGTTGATCATTTAAATGTCATATCGCTACTTAAGCTAACGGTATAATACCATAAAGCAACTTCAGCTTTAAGAGGCCGGTTAAATTTAATATGCATACTAGGTACTTACTTAAAACGTAAATTAAATCAACGCATATGAGAATTTCTAAGTGAAATATGTTGAAGTTGATTAATTATTTCCATTTTGATCATATGTCCAAAATTGCAAAATATATTTTAATGGAATTTTATTGCATCAGATACTTTGATAATTCACAAAGTAACATATACTTTGCAGCATACATTATTAGTTGGTTGCAGATATTCAGGAATGATGAACTATAATATCGTGGGTTTAAAAAACACTAACATGAAAGTTTCATGCACCGTATAATAAAAAACGGCATCTAGTGACGATAGGTATATGATATTTTCCATATAATTTTAATTCTATGACACTTCTCACGTTTAAATCTCATCACTGTGTCGCTCACTATGCGTCGATGCTGTTCGTCAATGCATGCGATTTGATGCGCCAATGCGTCGATGTGATGCGTTGTTTTGACGGAATATCGGTTTTGGGAGAACCATCAAAAGAAATATCTCGAACACAACGGACGAATTTCCAAACGAACTAATAAATCGCATCGACAAACCGCATCATAACCGCTATGATGGACGCGTGGACCAATGAACTCTACGCATCAGCGAATAGTGAGTATAGGGCTTTAGTCGATCAACACTTTACATAAATTAATCCACTGATTATTAATCAGTGGCGTAGGTAATAATATATTTCCGTTGCGGATAATTTACGTAACGATACGGACACGAGAAATACAATCAAACTCATTACAGCTTAAAAATAATTCTGTTAGTTTAATGGCGGTAGACAAGATGTTTCATGTAAACTAAAATTTTTAAGTCGAACCTCCATTGTCTTTATCCTTTATTAGTCCAAGAAAATAGGCCCTCAAATACGAAGTTTTGGTAAAAAGTTTTTGAATTTTTGATATAATTAAGTTACTTTGAAAGATCTAAAAACGAATTGACAGATTTTTTTTTAATTCACCATTTTTTCGAAATTTCGAAGAAACGGTAAGGACTAAAAAAATTAAAATAAAAGTTTTAGGGCGTCCAATTTTACATAAAAATGGTCTCTGTACTTTTTTGCCCAAATCAAAATTAACCGAGATAGGGTGTCTAGAAGCTAGGGGGCAGCTTTTATTAAAACATTTCACTCAAAATTAGTTATTTGGGTCAAAAATGACCTAAATACAAAATATTTTCATGGTGTCTGTCTGTCTGTCTGTCTGTCCGTTTATAACACGATAACTCAAAAACCGCTAAACCGATTTTAACCAAATTTGGCACAAAAGTACTGTGGCACCCGAGAATCTGGCCATTAGTTTTTGGTGGGGTTGGGGGGTTGGCAAGGGGGTATGGAAGGGGGTTAAAAATTTTAAAAAATCGTAACTCCAAAATTACAGTAGCTAGCGAAACGCGGTTTTCAATTTAAGATTACGAATAATATTTGCAACAAAATTTTTAATAACATCAACATCAGTCAAAGTCGCAGTTTTTGAGATAAAAAAAAATCAAGTATGGGCGGCTATACGTGCCTCAGATCTTAAATACCATTATTTTCTTCTGAATTTGATAGTATTGATTATATTGAAAGTAGCACTGAAGATCAATATTATGAGCTATAATTTAATACTTTATTTTAGTTGCATATTGAAATTTAATATTTTAAAGTGATTTTTTAATGTGATCTGCCTAAATAAGGCCATTATTACTAGAAATAACACCCTTCAAAAAAGTTGCTTAGTTACAAAATAACTACATAAAATTGTTTATAGGAACTTTTTTCATATTTTTTGCATATTTAAAACATAATTTAAGAGTAAGCAACATATTTGAACAGTAATAATCTTGAATTTTACTTAGAGAAAAAAATTGCCATAGAATTTTCAAATTTACATGGAGAAACCAATGTTCTTCCTCCCATCCTTCCTGATAATTTTTTAGTAACTATAGTATTTCTTAGTTTAAGAGATGTTCCCAATTGCTACTGTTCAAATTGCCACCCTGTATAAACAGCCGAGAACTAGCCTAACCGCTTACCGAGTCCATGGTAATGCTTTTATCTGCCAAAACCATAATATACCACACGACGCTGACCCGAATGGATGTATCCAACCGATGCAAACACTCTACAAAGGCATTCCACGCCTCGATCGATATTGAAATCGGCGAAAAACTCAATGGAAATGATGAAAAATCAATTGATCCAACGCGAAAATCGACTGGTCGGTACGCGCTACTCGAGCTTCGATCGCTCAATGTTACGCGATGGTCGATTGTTTCAGCGCGGCCTACTTTTGCCAGCCAACCACGCTTGCCTCGCTGAGATCAAGTTGCCCGCTAAGTACGGCGAACCAAGAAACAAGTGAAAGATGAAAAACAGCACGTTCCAGCGCCAACTAAGGTTGGGTCTGGCTTGTCTATTCTAAAGCGTAGATCTTGAAGTGGAAGAATGCGAAGGGATTAGAAGAAAATGACCTCTCCTTAAGAAGCAAGAAAATATATTTCAATATAATGAAGAATTTTCAATATTAAGAACTGTTTGTCATGCTGTACTAGACATGAATGAAGTTCCTTTTATTTTGATACTTCAAATTTAGCTTTAAAAAAAGCTGTTTAATGATGTAGATGTAGATGTCAATTGCATGAAAGGAGGGGAGTTAGTCACCGCGACTTTATAGATCTATTTTGCTCTATTGTGAGTTATAGCTCATCATACAGTCTCAGGGCTTTGACAAAAGTCAGTATCTGAGACGGTTTTACGGAGGGTAGTTCTCCACCTCCGATATCACTCCGTACCAAAGTTTATGGTACGAATAGTTGTCACTTTGGCACACTACGCTCAAAAATCATCACCCTAGCCAGGAAAGCCGAGCGATGAACCGAAAAGCTATCGCCCAGTGGCATTGCTGAACTCAATCAATAAGCTCTTAGAAATACTTCTGTAGAACCGCATCGCCACCAAAATAATGGAGACAGTTCCCATAGAACAGGCCGGGTTCCACGTTAAACGATGTGCTTGCCATACGATAAATAAATAAATTTGCCACACTCAGGAAAGAGGTGTTCTGGTGTTTCTTCATTTTCCCCATTGGGTCTGACTCGTAGTTGATTCTAAGCGTCTGAGGTGTTCATTGAGGAGACAGTGTCCTGTTGCAGACACACCCTCAGGGAGACACCCCCTAACAATCCAAAGATTGTTTTTACTTAGATCATGGAAAGCTTTTGATTTTTCTCCGTCGTGGTCTTTAGAAACATATTCGTCAGTGAAACGTGATAACCTGCTAACTCCATTTTTTACGTTAATACTCTATAAGTAGGAAAAGTAAATACATTTTTTCCCACTAAAGAAAATTTGCTACTTTAACTCAATATCTGCTAACTCCCAGTGATCTGAAATAGCCACCGAAATGCTGCTATCTCCGTAATTTCCGTTACGATCACGCTAAAGCAAACACAAGGATTTATACTCCTATGTTTCTTTAGTACAGTACGTCGATCCAGGGTCGTACTAGGCCAAAGGGGCCCGGGTGGCAATGTAAGGAGGGGCCCGTGTGGATTTTTTTGCTATTTTTTCGCCTTATGTTTTGGTCAATCTTTCCCTATTATATACAGGGTGAGTCTTAAATAAGTGCAAATATTTTTAGGGGTAGTATATTTCGACCCAAGAAACACGATTATGAGCTGTTTTTGCGCGAATTTTTTTTTGAAAATTTGTAATTTTTTTAAAAAAAAATTTGGATTTTTTTAGACCAAACCAAAGTAAACCTATAGCTCAAAATTGGTAGGTGTGGCTGGGTTGGGATTTGAAGATGATTGATTTGATTTTGTATTTTATAATTCCTGCTTTCAATGAGTTTCAACTTCCCCGATCTTCAGAAGAGGACCACGATAGATCTGAAAAGGTCAACAGGTGGATCAGGCCGATAGCCACCTCGAAGCATCTAATTTAATATAATCTCAAGATAGTCGCACTTCATAGCTCTTTACGTAAAACTTTACCTGTCAGATAATAAGGATTAAAAATATGCATATACAGGGTGGCGCCGCTCATACGCCGCGGAAGCTCCAAGGATAACGACAGTTTGTATTGAAATAAAATGTTGTGAGCAAATGTAGGTGAATTAGGAGCACTTTTTAAAAATATAAAATAGAAAACAAATTTCTTGCAGTATAGGTATATAATAAAATTATATAAGGATTCTTGCCACATATAGAAATTTAATTCTACGCTGTGTTTGTCATAACGTGGATCAACCTGCTCTCACTACCGGTTTCGGAGCCCTACTCCATCATCAGGTGAGCTTGGGCAGATCCACAAAATGACAACCACAGCGCAGAGATAGTTAATTCCGACTTGTCGGAAAGTGTCGGTTAGATATTAAATCCTGAACGGGAGATAGCGGCCTGCGTGTAATGGTAGTACTTTCGTACCACCGGGGCGCAACTATCGATAGTAAAGAATCGTAAAAGGCTTTTTTTCAGGCAAGCCAAATTATAAAATTGTTATAAAATTCTGCATCTCTCATAGCAAATATTATTTTCGTTTTAATTGATGCTCACAGCTAGAAATTGTTTGCATTCAAAGTGCCGTTCAAAGCCTACTTATTTAAAGCCGGCGAATTTTTATATACTCTATCAGGAATCGAGCAAAATATCAAGTGTGTTATATTTTTGGAAAGGTAATTTTAAATTCTTTTCAATAAATTACAAATATACAGGGTGTCCCATATAAAAAATCAAATTTTTTGTTGATAATTCTTAAATTATTAATTTAAAAAAAATTATACTTAAACCATTAAATTCTACTTAAAAAGGTGCTTTGGAAATGTTTTCATAAAAATACAAAATTTTCCATAGCAAAAAAGTTACAGCGATTTGTTAAAAATGCATATTTTTGAAAAACACCCCGTAACTCCGAAACGGTAACAGATATCGATATGCGGTTTTCACCATCATGTTTTTGACAAAAATTGAGCTCCAGACACCGATATTAGTTTTTGTCTATCTCCTATAGAAAAGGGTGTTTCCATTTAAAAGCGTCGAATTTGACCCACCCTGTACACTGGAATTTTTACTTGCGATTTTCTCAATTATTTATAGCATTGTGTATAATAAAGTTTAAAAGAAATATTTTACGACAGAATTGTATTACTAGCTCAAATTCATGTCTTGACATTATCAACAATGATATTTTATTATTGTAGTATATCATAACATAATGCTTAAATTTATGTTTCAGTTTAAAAAACATTTTTATATTATAAATAAAATATAACACAGTAGTGATAATATAAATACCATTTTAATTTATTACAAAAGTATAGTATTAAAGTACACTCAATATGTAATATGTGCTTTTCATTTTATTTATTTGTATAATTATTAAATACGTACTAAATACTATACTAAGAAAAATAAAATTTTTCTATATTCGGCTTATAAACTTTCCTAAAAAATCAAACCAAAACTTCAAGTTAAATATCATTATCAAAAAAAATGTTTCTGTTTAATATAATGATTGTTTCCTGCTGCAAAAAAAACCTTTTTATAACTCACATGTAAAAGTTACTATACACTTCATATTTAGATCAGTTTCACTTCCTGCTTTTTTATAATCAAAATTTGATTGGTAATGGTTAAAACAATATGATTTCTTAATATTCACGGAATACGTATATATGAAACTTTTAAAAATCTAATACCCTATGATAGAAAATAAACGTCCAATTGGCTTGGAAATGACGATGACAGCAGCCAATCTTCATTTCATATTATATTTTTCGATAATTCACCAAATGATCTTAAGTATCTTTAGAAATATTTAATTATTCATTGTCATCATAATTTTCAGCTTATTCGACCATTTCCCCCAATTATGGTTTAGACCTCCCTCACATATTTAGAAACTCTCCTTGTAGTTGAGCCCATTGTTGTGTATTATTGGCTATATTGACTAAGTTATCCCTGCAAATTTCCTAATATCATGGTCTCATCTCAGGTCCAAACCTCGTGGGTACCATTTTGTAATTTTTGTGGTCCATCTGTTATACGTCCTTCTTGCCAGGTATCCTGCCCATTGCCACTTCAAGGATTTGATTCTGTGGATGACGTCTACTCGTAGTCTTCTTCATCTTAAGGTGCCGTGCAGATTCCTGCGTAGGCGTTCATATTTTTCTTCCTCATCAGATGGTTCTATTAACTGCTGCGACTTGGAGTGCTTCGAAGTCCTGTATGCCTGTCCAATAAGGAATATTTCTCAGCCAGGATAGCGTCCTTCGGCCCCATTTTCCGTCCCTTTTGCCTCCTCTATTTTACTCTGGAGAATCAGACGCTGAAAGTGATAGCGTTCTCCACGTTTTGGCTATTTTCCTCTTCTTGATGATTTCGAAGAGTTCACGTTCTTCTAGACCAGCTCTTCTGAGAATGTCTTCATTCCTAACACGGTCGACCCAGGGCCCTCTTAGCATTCGTCGTAGGGTCCACATTTCGAAGGCTTCAATTCGGTTTATTGTTGCTACCTTCAGTGTCCATGCTTCCACACCATATAACAAAACGGACCAGGCATAGCACTTCACCATTCTAAGGCCGAAGTTCAAGTTTCTATCTGTGAGAAATTTTCGCAGTCTCAGAAAAGTAGATCTTGCTTGTTCGATCCTGCATTTGATCTCCTGATCTGGATCCCACGTTTCGTTAACCATGCATCCCAAATATTTAAATTGTGTGACCTGCTTGATGACCTCTCCATTTAAGTAAATTCTGGTGTTCGGAATATTGTTTCTGCTACCAGCCATAAATTTAGTTTTTGTAGTATTTATATTTAAACCCAGTCTTTGGCTTTCGTTGTTGACCTTACTTAGAAGGATTTGGAGATCATTTGCATTGTCTGCCAATATTACTGTGTCATCCGCATATCGGATATTATTAATTGGAATGCCATTCATTTTCAAACCAAAGGGACTATCGGAGATTGACTCAGTGAATGCTCTTTCCACATATAAATTGAACAACATTGGAGACAGAATACACTCTTGCCTTACCCCCTTTTTTATTTCAAAATCTTCAGATCAAACTACTCCCACGCTATGTATACTGTAATAATCGTAGTACCTGGGTCTTTTGTCGTATACTCTCTATTCTTTTATGGTCTTTCTGGTTATTCTCAGCATATTTCGTTCCATTGAGCGTTGTACGACCTGCTGTTTCTTTATAATGCCCTTTTTTAGAGTCCAGGTTTCGCATGTCCAGCCGCTCGAATGGCTTAAGACATATCTTGGCAACAGAAGGCAGCTTGTGAGGATTGATACGTCTATGTCTTCTTGT